TGTGACATCATCACCAACAAACATTTATTTTGTATTTCTAATAAACATGAGCCTTCCTGAGGACAGTGCATGATAATAGGGGATTTACAAAAACTGGAGATTTGCACTGCAACCAATCAGCTTCTGTCTTATTTCAAATCTTACCTGAGCAAACCAAAGAGATGCTGATTGCTCCAAATTCTGCCTGCTCCAGTTTTGATAAAAAGTCCCCCCATTGTTATTAAACATGACCCTTCCTGAGGACAGTGCATGACAATAGTGGGGGCTATAAAAACTGGGACAGAATTTGGAACAGTTGCCCATGGCAACCAGCTTCTCTTTCAACAAACTAAAAAGAGAAACTGATGGTTGCCATGGGCAACTGCTCCAGTTGGTCTCTATAGGCTTATCTTAGGACTATAGAGACCATGAAAGCAACCAAAGCCTCTCAAAGCCCTCAAATACCACATGCAATGTAATAATAGGACACAGAGCAGCACACGAGGGACTGCAATGTAATAATAGGACACAGAGCAGCACACGAGGACTTACCAATACACCACATAGACCAGCACAGGCTCATTGACAGGCATTATGTACGTTTCTAGCAGTCTCCTTCCAGCAGCTGTCAGTCACTGTGACTCAGCACCGAAGCCTCCCCGTATAAATGCACGTAGGTCCCGCCCACCAACCGTATAATAGCACCGCCCACCTTTGAAAACTATACGTCTTGCGTGACCGCACCATAACTAATAGGGGGGGTGAGAAAGTGAGGCGGTACCATTTCACAACCCCACACACAAAGCCAGAACTAACGCCGGCCACATGTCTCTAGCACCTGATTTTATGTATGATTTTTCACCCATGCTTCCTGTTCCACACTGTTAGCTGTCAGTCTGGAGGTTAACACAGGATACATACAATGACCCCCCCTATCTCTGATTAATGGAATCGGCCACACCGTCCAGCTCATCAGTGTACAAGAAGGAAGCTCCGACTCCGAAAATAGCCTGTTACACAATCACAGCAGAACGTGAATGCTGAGACGGGGGATATACCTAGGCGGTTTATCGCGCAGAATCGCACAAAACACAGAATTGAATTGAAGTCTATGGAAGCTGTTCACAGCTTCGCGATTTGTCGCGCTGTAGAAATTGCCTGTCGCGCAAAAAGGGGCAGGGCCGGTGCACACCTGGGGGATCTGTAACTGTGCGGCAATTGTGCACGATACCGCGTGGTCACCGAGTCGCCCATCACCGACGATCACGCTGTGGGTGCCATTATTTTTAAATGGCACCCCAGTCGCGCTGGGTGGATCGCGTGACTGGGGTCCCCGGGATGCACCCCATTGAAATCAATGAGGCCATGCAGCAATCGATGTCTGCAATTGTGCACTAACGCGCAATCCTGGGACGCGTATCCGCGATCGCTCAGGTCTGCACCGGGCCTCAGCAACAATGATGCCTTGCCGCTGCAAACCGCTAATATCAGCAATAGACAGCGATCTGCAGCTAGCAATGCCATTTCAGTTTGTCGATAAGAAGATATTTTTTCGCAGCTGCAGGTTATTATGTTGGTATTTGCTGCTATAAATTGTTTTGGGGCCGTGGCTTAACAATGGCGCCATGAGGATGAGTCTTCTTGGAGCTCTGCACCGGCCGGCACTAACCCACTCTCCAGGTGATGATAATGTCCTGACCACAGGGCAGCCAGGTGCAACCCCGGAGCTCCCGACAATCCGCTCTGACAGGCTTCTTCGCCCCCGCCGACACTTCGCCCACATGGCGACTACCCGTTCAGCGGCAGCGGCCCCACTCCGTCTAAGACACGGACCAAAGCGGCGGCGGCGCCTCTTACTGACGCGGTGGATCCGACCCGCGATCGAGACCGGCCATCATCCCTGATCCCCTCGCCCATTCTCCCGTCTGCAGACTCTAGAGACCGCCTGTCAATCGAGGGGGGCGGGGGGACTGGAGAGAGATCCTCCCGCGGCTCACCACCAAGGGTGACCTGGAGGCTATGGCAGCAGCCATGGTGGCGGCCCTCAGGCAGGAGGTGCAAGAAATTGGACAGAGGATGACATCACTAGATGGCCTTGTGTCCACATTAGAAGACACTACGGCCTCTCTCACTCAAAGGATGTTGGCCCTAGAGTCGGCTCACTCTGACATGGGCGCACAGACTACAACGGCTTTTCTCAGACTGGATGACAGTGAAAACCGTAACAGACGCAACAACCGGCGCCTGAGGGGTATTCGGTCATGGAACTGGGTGCGGTCATGGAACTGGACCGGGTCCATCGAGTCCTGGGGGTCCGCTCACAGACCACTGTCAACTCCCCGCCTCGCGATGTCCTGTGCCGGGTCCACTTTTACGCGATCAAAGAGGAGATCTTGCGCCAGGCCTGGGGGCCAATGGACTTTGACGGGGCGCCTATTCATATCATGCCTGACTTATCCAGACACACCCTTCGCATGCGAAGAGCCTTGCTGCCCTTGTTGGAGATCATCCGCTCCTCGGATGCCTCATACAGATGGGGGCACCCATTCCACCTTATTGTGAGGAAGGGCGATGCCACATTTCAACTACACCATCCTCAACAGCTGCCGCATATGTTCTCTTTTTTGGGGGCGGAGGCTATACCCATCCCGAACTGGTTGGACTTCTCCCAGGATCGACGGCCGCTTGCCCCGCTCCCGCTTGGAACCCCCAGACTGCAGAGGTCCCGCAGCCGAGCCAGTCGACGCCCAACGCAAAACCCTTCCCACACACGGAGCGAAGCCTGATGATCCACGGCAATGGTTGCTGAGTCTCAGCCCCAGGTGTTTCTGTCGCAATCCCTGTGTTTAAATGTTTTTTCTAAATGGGATATGTTTCATATGTTGTTGTGTCATGACATCCACCGGGGAAGGCCCTCTCCTGGCTCTTTACTGGACCTAACGTTTGGTCCTGTGGAGGTCTCGGAGGGGGGCCTCCTGGTCACTGCTACTCATGTGGATGGTGGGACACCTTTTATATCCCCTTACAGGTTTATGCATGCAGGCCTCATGGGAGGCACGGGGAGACGGATGGCGCAGGGGGGGATGCGGCCTTGGAGTGACCGCTGCATGGGTGGCTCGGGGGCGGTATCCTCTCCCCTCCTGGGCACGGTAGTCACGGTTACTGGGGACTGCTTCATTTCACTTTATCTTGACTTTAATAATGTTGTGGGGTTGTGTTGCCGAGCTGATGCATCTCCAATATCGCTATTGTTTTGACCACTATTTTATTACCACTTTACCCCCATAGGACACGCGCTCATGCCCTAGTTACACAGGGTGTTCGCAACTTGAAGGTTTTTACTTGTGCTCTACTTTCCTCTTTCTGCTCTATCTCATCTCCTTTTGTCTTTTGTTCACTCTCCCACTCACCCTGACCCCCATCCTTCCCTCCTGCCAACCTTGCCCACTGCCAGGCCCTGTACATAGCAGGTGGAGATAATGGCTCCGCTCTCAGTCTATTCCTTGAATGCCAGGGGCCTCAACATCCCTGAGTTCCAAGAGGGGATGCTGATATTAGACAGCGATTTTAACGTGGCCCTAGACCCTACCATTGATACCTCTAGGGGTGTCTCTCCCCTCTCCTTCCCTTTTCTCTGGAAGTTCAAATTGGCCCTACAGCAACTTCCTCTTGTGGACATGTGGCGTTCCCTGTTCCCTGAGGGACGGGATTATACCTACTATTTGGCAGTACACCAATCCTACTCCAGGATCTATTACCTCCTGCTTCGCCACACGGACCTGTCTAAGGTTATGTCAGCGGCTATAGGCTCACCCCTCCTTTCTGATCACGCCCCGATTCAGTTAACTGTGGAGCCTCCTGGAGGCTCAACAAGTCTCTTTTGCAGGATCCCATCATTTGAGGTGATGTGTCGTCTTCTCTGACGGATTATTTCCGTACTAATGGCGAAGACGGTGCTGACCCTTTGAATGTGTGGGAGGCACACAAATGTGTCATACGGGGCGTCCTCATCAAGCACAGTGCACGGCGGAATCGGGAGGGTATTGCCCACACCGAAGCCCTGTTGGTTCGCCTCCGCAAACTAGAAGCGGTCCATAAGAGATCTCTCGCAGTGGCGACCTACAAGGAACTAGTACTGGTCCGGGTGGCTCTCAATGCCCAACTGTTTCTGAGGGTTAAGTGGCGCGCTATGTGGGGACGCAGGACTTTCTATGAACACGCCCATAAACCGAGCAAATACTTAGCAGGCGCATTACGTGACCCGAAACATAAAACTTTAATTTCCCACCTAACCTCCAGACAGGGTTCCCGACTCACGCTCTCTACGGACATGGCGGAGGAGTTTTGTGACTTTTACCGCCATTTATACAACCTACAGCCAGATCCCCTTATACAGGAGTTGCCGGCCCGACTGGCGGCGATGGATCTGTAACTTCGACAATCGGGCCTAGCTGCCATCTCAGTGGAGGAGAGGGAGGGTTTGGAGCTCCCCATCTCCCCGGAGGAACTACAGGGAGCGTTAAAGCAGTCCAAGTCGGGTAAAGCCCCGGGACCAGATGGGTTCACGATCCCGTACTACCGTGGGTTTCAAGACCTGCTGTCACCTCATTTCTTGAAAGCCTACAATTCCATACTTCTGAACCGCCCTGTTCCGATAGACTCCTTGAGGGCGCACATCGTGGTGATCCGCGCAATGCGGGAGCTATCGCCCAATAGCCCTGCTTAATGCTGACATTAAATTGTTTGTGAAAATTCTGGCAAACAGGCTCTCGCCTATCGTCCGTAACTTAGTGCAAGATGATCAAGTGGGGTTTGTCTTGACTCGGGAGGCCAGGGATAGCACCGCCAGAGCCCTCAATATCATACATGGGGCTCGCTCCACCTCCTCCCCGTTGATGATCCTCTCCACAGACGCCGACTGGGCGTTTTTACGGTCCACCCTTCAACACATCGGACTTGGCCCAAATATGTTGTCATGGCTGCTCGCCCTCTACTCTCGTCCCACGGCGGCGATACGGGTCAATGAGACCACATCTCCGTATTTCCCTCTCACGAATGGTACGCGACAGGGATGCCCCCTATCCCCATTGATGTACCTTTTCTCTGTCATGTTATACTTAATGGTCGAATTGCTGGACACCGGCTCCATTCGGTGGACCATAAGGTCGCAGCGTATGCTGACGACCTCCTGTTTTTTTTATCTCCCAGCCTCGCTCTTCCCTCCCGGAACTTATGCGGGAGTTTAGAGAATATGGAGCTCTCTCGAACCTGGCCATCAATTGGTCTAAGTCGGCAGCTTTGAACATTATTTTACCTCCGGCGGAAGTGAGCTTTAGCCAGGCCCAGTTTCCATTCCGATGGGAGGAACGCTCTTTGCCCTACTTGGGTACTTTTCTCACCCCCGATCTGGAATCACTGTATGACGCCAATTTTACTCCTCTCTTGCTCCAGATTAAACAGGATCTGAGGAAATGGCAGGCTCTCACGGTCACCTGGTTTGGTCGCTGTACCGCACTCAAAATGACCATCCTACCTAGGATTCTATTTATAATGCAAGTGCTGCCTTTTTGTCTCC